TACGACATCATTGGAATAGATTAAGAGAAGACCGTCAGAGGGAGAGGCCGGGTATTCACAAGAATATATGTTATAGTATCGAACGAAGGAGGGATCCCTAAGAGACACCTGCCAACGCTTTCTAAAGATTCGTTTACTTACCTTTTCACGAAAAAGTCATTCCTACTGAAACTGCAGGTTTGATTATCAAAACCAAACGACCAAATGTTATGTAAACTTCCATCATGCCGAACAGAGTCAAGAGATTTAAAAACACAAAATATGGATAAGCCAACTAAACCGGTGAAGTCCGTAGAGAAACTGGCGCAAAACAGAACTCACTATGCCGTAGAATCCTTCTTTCTTTCTCGGGTTTTCTAATCCTACTCAACATAAAGAGTTCGAATAATTTTTAAGAAGGCTATCGAAGGGTAATAGACCTGTACTTACCACCCCCATTACACATCACAGCTACCACTGTGTCTAGCAAATTAAACGGCTAACGAAGTAGTTTTGCCTGTTTTTCGTTACTGAAAACTATGAGACAGGGGCAGAATTGAAGGGAACAACACAACGACTATCCTATCGACAGAAACACTGGCAGCAACAACAGCAACAAAATAAGAACGTCGTCTAACGATAAGCGGATAAGCTAGCGGTGCTCAATAATAGCACGGAAACAAAGTAAAAGGGATTTACAACAACAGCACCACCAACAACAATGACAGCAGCTTGTTGTTCATTCAGTGGAAATCCCTTCGTTTGCAAAAATTAACACAAAGACATTGACAATGTCGACACGACAACAAAGATCACAAATGAGCGGAAGACAAGAGAACGATAGAAAAAAAAAAAAACAACAACGAAAAACGAAGAAAGAAACAACGAAAGCACAACAAAAAGTAACAATAAAGGATTTGAAGCAATTAAGCTTTTGTTCGACGCTGGCTGACGCAACACTAAAACACAAACTAAAATGCATGAATAGCAAATTAATTAAGTTTCCTTGAGGTTCAAGCGTTCAAATTACTATTCAATAATTCTGTTCACCTTTATGGTAGCAACGGCTAAGGCTCTTCTAGCTGCTAGCTTTGCAGCATCAATGTTGTTGGGGCAGTGGCGGAAAATAATAATGAGATGAAGTTTGCGTAGAAAAGTAGTCAATGTCAACCCTTGATAGAAACTGTAAACAAAAAGGAGTGCAAGGATAAATTTAAACCAAAAGATTAATAAAATACTTAACAATAGATTAAGGGATTACGGAGAAAGATTAGATCCGTTTCTAATCTCAATGTTTGTAAATCCGGAACATATATCCTCGATCCGCTTAAGATTTTATGTCGATTAACTCTATTCGAACTGTCTGCCCATTTGACCGGACTGACGTAGGTGGACAAAACGTTACTCAAGTGCATTTTATGTCCTAAGAATTTTCACGATTTTTTATAGACTCCAAATAATTGTACCACCCCACTTAAGGTATATTTAAAGTTTAAGACATATTTTTCAACCGAATTGAATAGAATCCTTACAAAAAATATGCAGATTATCCCATATAACAGTACTACCTGATATTCGGTGTTTGGATGATTTTAGACACATTTTCTAACTTTTTTATACCCTACACCACAAGGTGGACAGGGTATAATGTCTTTGTGCATTTGTTTGTAACAGGCAAAAGGAAACGAGATAGACCCATAGATCCTTTTGATGATCTGCATAGAATCACATTCTGAGTCGATTTATGCATGTCCGTCCGTCCGTCCGTCTGTCCGTCTATGCATGTATTTTTGTAAACAAAGTACAGTTCGCATTTATTGCCCTATCCAGATGAAATTTTGCACAAGTCATTTGTTTGGCCCAAGGACGAACCCTATTGAAGTTGGAGATAATCGGTCAAAATTTAGATATAGCTCCCATATATATCTTCATCCGATTTGCCTTTTATTGTACACCAAACGTGTAATATCAGTCCGAATAGTATGGAATTTTGCCCGTACGATCAGATTGGACCTGAAAACAAGTATGCCAAATTTGATCGAAATCGGTTCAGATATAGCTATAGCTCCCATATATATTGTTCATCCGATTTGTTATTTTTGTCCACCGCCGCCGTAATATGCACTATGCAACAACAATATTTGGGGAAATATATCAAATTCAGCTCAGAAATATATTTGCTAAATTTTATCGAGATCGGTTCAGATTTGGATATAGCTCCCATATATAACTTTGTCCGATTTACTTTGAAATTTGGCACTTACGACCGAATTGAGTCTAGAAGCTAGTATGTCAAATTTGGCGAAGATCGTTTCAGATATAGCTATAGCTCCCATATATACTTTTCATCCGATTTGTCATATTTGTTACCCACAGTCGTAATGTACCGTCCATAACAACGATATTCAGGGAAATATATCAAATACAGCTCAGAAATATCTTTGCCAAATTTTATCGAGATGGGTTCCGATTTGGATATAGCTCCCATATATATTTTTATCCGATTTCAAATTAATTGTGCACCAAATGGGCAATACAAGTCCGAATTTAAAAGATACAAATGCTTCGGCATATTTAGTCCTTTGAACTTTAAATTATAATTATAATCATAGCGTGTATGATCGAATTCTCCCATAAAAACTTTTAATTGTTATGCGGAGTTCTCCAAAATTAGCAAAGTGGTGTAGGGTATCATAAAGTCGGCCCCGCCCGACTTTAAGGCTGTCTTTACTGGTTTTTTTTAATTTGGTATTAGAGTTTGCAATAGCTGCTGTCCTCTCAGGCAGATAATTGTCTATGCACACATTTTTATACTCTACAACACAATGTCGTCCGATTTTTGGAAAATATTTAGTTTTTATGTTAATAAAACAAGTAAAAAAGTATCGGTTTGTTTTGCCGACAGATGTATACCCTCAATGTTCGATTAATTTAAAATATTTTGACTTCTGTAATGAATTTTAAAACTCTTGACCCTATATATATATCTGAAATAGTTGAAATTTACATTCAACAGAAGAAATCAATTGTGAAAACTCAACGTGCTTTTAAAACATTAAAAAATGTGAGAAGTGCGCCTTCTATGAACACCATTAAGCGTTCATACGAAAAATTTTCGACTGGTAAGGCTCATTCTAATCCGAAGAGGCCATAAAAAATTCGACCAAGGCGATCTGCCGAGAATATTGCTGCCGTGCGAGCCAGTGTTGAGAGGTCCCCAAGAACATCCCAAAAACGCCGTTCTCAGCAGTTGGGCATGGCTCGGTCCACTTTACAAGGGAATATTCGCATTGATTTGCATTTGTTCCCGTACAAAATTCAATTGACGCAAAGAATGTTGCCTGCGGACAAGCCTAGTCGATTGGAATGGGCCATGGGTCCGTCGAATATGGGCAACCCTGTATGATACGAATGTGAGGGACTTAAACACCACATCGGATGAAATATAGGGTGCCATAAAGAAAACTGCAACAAAGTTTTTTTTTTATTGAATGGAAGCAAAATATATTGGAAATAGCATCAAATTTTAGAAAAAGTTTAGATTTGTTCGAGTTGATCACCTTTGGCCCGAATTGTGGCCTTCCAACGGGTAATGAAACCGCCACACGCTGCCCGAATGTTGCTTTGCGGTATTTTGGCCCATTCCCGACAAAGCGCTTCCTTGAGGTGATCGACACTCTGGTATTTTTTTTATTACCAACCTTGCTTTCCAAAATACTCCCGTTACAATAGTTCAACGGATTGGTATCCGAAGATTTTGGTGGCCATTGTGCGCTGGAAATGAAGCGAGGAACCTCATTTTGTTACCATTCTTGAGTGGCGCGTTCTGAGTGCTTATTGAAGAACCATATACCGTAATCTCGACTCTTCGAGCAATGGTCCGGCAATTGCAGAATGTTTGAAGTGGCTTAATTTCAACACGAGATTTACGGTGACCGGAAACGTCCTAGCAGACAGTAAAACTAGTGTCAACACGGCTCAGTAACGTGAACAGGCAGGGGCTAAGCAGCAGTAAACTTAGATAATCCAATTCCGTTAATGCGTCATGTCTATAGTGAAAGACATGGGCAAGAAACACGCATAAATCCTTATGGCAGAATGAAGGCGTAGGGTGCTGAGTCCTGTTGGAATGTCCAAGGTCTGTGGCCAAAATGTTTGCGTGCCCAAGGCTTTAATACACCCTCCAGAATATTTTCGCGTTAATATTCGACATTTATTCTGGTTGCAGTTTTTTCTGTACATGGGAGCTCTAGCTATATCTGAAACGATTTTCTCCACATTTGATTCGGTTTGATGTGCCAAAATTCAGGTCATTTGGACTTATGCTGGCCATTTAGTGCACAATTAACCTGAAATCGGTTTAAGATATATGGAAAGTGTATCTAAATCTGATGCGATTATAACCAGTTTCAATAGAGTTCGTTCTTGTTTGGAAAATGTTCACAAGAATACATGTACAGACGGTCGGAGAGAGTCACTGACTGACATGCATAAATCGACTTAGAAAGGGATTCTATGAAGATCCTCAAAAGTAACTATCGCTCTACCTCGCTTCTTTCTCCAAGTTACAACCAAATGCACAAAGGCATAATACCCTTACAGAGATATAGAATTTAAATTTACAATATGTAATTGTGTTAGGTTATTAACGAGAATTAATTAAAATTTCAAAAACATTACGCTGCCACATATTTTTTTTCTTAATCGGATTATTCATTAGAATTGGATGTCTGAAAAAAGATTAAACTCGCATTTCAAATTCAAAACATTTACTTTGTTCTGTTTTCTATACAAGCAATTTGAAATAAACAAGACTAACAATTTCAAATGATGTAAATAATCGACATTGATTTTGTTGTTGCATGCGTAATTCATACATCATTATCAACATCATCATCGCCACCATCATCATTATGAAGAATATGAGAAACCCATGAGTGGTTTCAAATGTGTGTCACTGTCATCATCGTTATTCTGTGTAAACATTTGGTGACTTGATAAGAGCCCCGGTCAGCTGTGGTTGATATTGAAATTATCAAAAAGCCAGATTAATTTTAAAAATAATGTATGAAACCAGCTGAATATTTCTATAAATGTAGACAAATTCGAAATTTTCAAAAACAGTATCCGATTTGAATTCAAACGTAAAAGTCCGAGATTAAGATGGCAAAGTTATTTGTAAGTGGAAAGAAAATGTGAAATTAATATTTTTTCTTATATTTTTATACCCTACACTACAAGGTGGTCAGGGTATTATGTCTTTGTGCATTTGTTTGTAACAGGCGAATGGAAACGAGATGGACCCATAGTTCCTTTTGATGATCTGCATAGAATCACATTCTGAGACGATTTATGCACGTCCGTCCGTCCGTTCGTCCGTCCATCTGTCCGTCAGGACGTCCGTCTGTCCATGCATTTTTGTGAACAAAGTACAGTTCGCATTTATTACCCGATCCAGATGAAAATTTGCATAAATCATTTGTTTGGCCCAAGGAAAAACTCAATTGAAATTGGAGATAATCGGTAAAAATTTAGATATAGCTCCCATATATATCTTCGTCCGATTTGCCTTTTATTGTTCACCAAACGTGTAATATCAGCCCGAATAATATGGAATTTCGCACATATAACTTGAAAATAAGTATGCAAAATTTGATCGAAATCGGTTCAGATATAGCTATAGCTCCAATATATATTGTTCATCCGATTTGGTACTTTAGTCGTCCGCAGCGGTAATATGCACCTTGTAACAACATTATTTGGGGAAATATATCAATTACAGCTCAGAAATACCTTTGCTAAATTTTATTGAGATCGGTTCAGATTTGGATATAGCTCCCATATATATCAAAAGGGCAATTTAAGACCGAATTTAAAGGATACAAATGCTTCGGCATATTTTGTCTTTTGAATTTTAAATTATAATTATAATCATAGTGTGTATGATTGAATTCTCCCATAAAAAGTGGTGTAGGGTATCATAAAGTCGGCCCCGCCCGACTTTAAGACTTTCTTTACTGGTTTTATTATTAATTTATTTATATTTTCTTTATATTTTACTATGTAATTTATTAATTTATTTTTTCGTTCTCATTAATACATTAGGTTATTGTTCTGTGTGCATTGTTTGCCTATGCCATGGCACGGCCAAGTGGTTATGGTGGCCATAATGATGGTGGTTACGGCGGTGGTCATGGTGCTGGCGTTGGTGGTGGCCACGGTACCGGTGGTCATGGTGGACACAGTTCAGGCTATGGAGGCCAACAAGGTAGTTATGGCGGTCACAGCTCTGGTTTCGGTGGCCAACAAGGCGGTTTTGGTGGTCAACAGGGCCATGGTCATGGTCACGGCCATAATTCCGGTTTTGGTAGTTCCCAAGGCGGTCATGGTGGTTCTCAAGGCGGTCATGGTGGACATCATGGTGGCTATGGTGGACAAGGTGGTTATGGTGGACAAGGTGGTTATGGTGGACAACATGGTGCTGGTTCCCAAGGTGGCGGTTATGGTGGAAAAAATGGTGCCGGTTTTGGTGGCCAACAAGGTCATGGAGGTTATCGCCAACACGGTTATTAGATAATTACTACATACAAACGTATGAATTCAATATGTGATTAAGACTGGGAATATGATATATAATAAAACAAAAATAGTATTTAAAATATGTAGACTTTTGATTTAATTGGGTTCTATAATATGTGTAGCACATTTTGAGAAGAAAACAAAACAAGTAAGCGAAGGCTCTAGTCGTGCGGGGCCGACCATGTGATACCCTACAACACTACAATATGTTAGAAGCCCCCTTATGTCCAAATCCATTTTGGAAGTCGCTTTTGAAATTATGCCATAGATCATTGCCCAATTGACCAATATTTACGCACTCCATGGTGCTGTTAGATGTTGTGGTCCATTATACAGCTAAATATAATCCAATGGTCATCCAAAATGCTAGAACTCTTTCCTGACCTTAAATCTCTTCTCATGCTAAATTCCTTGTCGATTGGTTTCAATTGTGTGATCAGGAAATTTTTCCTGCTTTTGGTTCGATTGAACCCCTAATTGACCCTCCAGAAGCAAGAGGCCAAATTGTATCTCCAAATTTAGACTCATCTATATGATTTGATTGTTTACGATATTTGGCTATATTCGTCAACGAAATCATCATAAAAACCCAGAAGTTCCCCTTTTGTATATTTCGAACATCGCCTGTAAGTAATGCTGGTATTTTTTCACACAAAAGTAGTGGTCCATTCTTCCCGCAATCCTAAACTCTAACTTCATGCGAGATCTCCTTTCTTTTGGTTTCTATTTTTGACCTTCATAACGGCTGCTAAATCAGGAACATTTTTACTTGTTGGTCCATTTCTACCCCTAAATCTTTAACATCTTTGAAAGCAATAGGCCTAGCTCTTGTGAGCCTAACCCTACCCTTGTAAAAATTTTCGTGAGGATCGGACGATAACAGCAATCTGTATATAATAACCCGGACCTGTGTTGGTAGCTGAAAAAATATTACAAAATATTCACTTCAATATAAAATAATAATAAAAAAAATAAAAAAAATGTTACAGTCAAAATGAAAAATCGTATGCGATAAAAAATATGAAAAATAAAAAAAAATACAAAATACTAAAAAATCTATTATTGCCATATTTTATGCGATTTTTTCAGATTTTAACCTTTTATGCCAAGAGGGCATTATGAATTGACAAAATTTGTCAAAATCGATCCAGCCATTCTTAAGATATAAGCATTTTTGCTAACATCCCCTTCCTTCGTATATACACATTGTATATATTTCGCTACATATATCCGATATTTTTACTATCGGCATCTACGTAACGGCCAGAATTGACCTTTCTATTTGTGATTTCGCCGGTATTAAAAATATTCGCGGTTTAATGGAAATTTGACTTTTATTTAACACAAATGTTATGGTCTATTTTACCCACTAAATATTACCCGATGATTATGATTATGGTCTATAATTGCGATTAGTAGAGCATCAGGAAATTTTATAGTTTTTGGTCCATTTCAACCCCTAAATATTATGCGATTATCTCCAAAAGCAATAGGCTTCTATTCTGGCCCTAGCCCACCTCCATTCTAAATTTCGTGAGAATCTGGCCATAATTGCGATCTGTAGAGTGATTATAAGTTAACATGGACAGACGGACGAACGGACATACATAGCCAGATAGATCCATATGTACTTTCCTATGTGGGAAACCAATATTTCGAGGTGTTACATAATTTTTGGCCCAATCAAACTTATAATACCCCCAACACAAAGTGTTGTAGAGTATAAATACCTTTCACTAAATGTTCTCTCTGTTCGTAATACATACCAAGTAAAAAAGCAGCAAGTTCGGCCGGGCCAAACTTTGAATACGCTCCAGCATTTGGAACGAATTTGGAAATTCGTTTAAAATATAGATTTCTGTTAAAATTTACAAAATACTGAATATAGCCATTATTTTGGGATCTATACGAAGACGTGGACATGCATAGAATCCTATTGTGATATGCCATTACAATATTCGAATTTTAAACTTGAAACAAAAATACAGTGAATAATGTAGTGATTTTAGCTACAAAATACCGAGAATAGGGAGGTACCGTTATATCGGGGCTATAGACAGACTTGGACCTGCATAGATAATTTTCAGGCTGTAATACCTGCTAGCAATTTCAAACTACGAAATTTCAAACAATTTCGGTGAATATTGTACCTAAAATCATCAAAATATCGAAAATAAGGAGAAACTGATATATGGGGCCTATACGAAGACGTAGGCCTGCATACGCAAGTTTTTGTCATAGGCTGTAGTATGTATTACGAATTCTACATACGAAATTTGAAGCAACCCTGATGAATAATGTCCCTAAATTCTTCAAAATATCGAATATCGGGGGAACTGTTTTATGTGGGCTATACGATATCGTAGTATGAATTTTTAGACAATTCCATTGAAAATGAAGCTAAAGTCATCAAAATACCGAATATAGGGAGGTGGATTCTCAGACAAGTTCATTGAAAAATTTGGCTACAATCGTCAAAATACCAAATATCGGAGGATATCGTTGTATGGGGGCTATACGATATCGTGGACCGATATAGCCATCTTCGAACTTGACCTACCTGCAGACAAAAGACTAATCTGTTCAAAATTTTAGCTTCCTTTCTTTATTCATTTTGACTGTAGCGTGATTACAACGGAGGTACAGAAGGACAGACGAACGGGTCAAGAACATATGTAAAAATATAAACTTAATATACCCTCCATATTATATATGGTGAAGGGTATAAAAATTATCAACTTACGCCAAGACGAAACGGATGAAGCTAGAATATTGATTGGGTGGCTCTTAGTCCAAAGGTGTCAGATAAAGCAGTGTTTTGGATATTCGTTCTAGCTTTGTAACTCTACTTATGTAACATTGCGATGTAATATTTCAAAACACTAACAAAACGTGTCTCCTACTTATAGTTCTACCCTAAAAATCTAGTCGATTTTTTCAGTAATTATTTTGTGTATTGTACAGTGTTTTGTCTCTGAACGAAAGAATATCGAAAACTCAACATTATTTAAAAACTTTTTTAATTTCGTTTTTATACCCTCCACCAAAAAAGGTATGGAGGGTATATTAACTTTGTCATTCCGTTTGTAACTCATCGAAATAATCATTTTAGACCCAACAAAGTATATATATTCTTGATCAGCGTAAAATTCTAAGACGATTTAGCCCTGTCCGTCCGTCTGTCCGTCTGTCCGTCTGTTGTAATCACGCTACAGTCTAAACGAATTAAGATAGGAAGCTAAAATTTTGCACAGATCTCTCTTTTGTCTGCAGGCAGGTCAAGTTCGAAGATGGGCTATATCGGTCCACGATATCGTATAGCCCCCATATAACGGTACCCCCGATATTCGGTATTTTGATGATTTTACCCACATTTTTGAACGGAATTGTCTGAAAATCCACACAAGGAGTTCCTTGTGGGTACTTTATACCTCAGCAGAGAATTATCTATATAGGTCCACAATATCGTATAGCCCCCATATAACGGTACCCCCCGATATTCGGTATTTTGATGTTTTTACCCACATTTTTCAACGGCATTGTCTGAAAATCCACACAAGGAGTTCCTTGTGGGTACTTTATACCTCGGCAGAGAATTATCTATATAGATCCACAATATCGTATAGCCCCCATGTAACGGTACCCCCCGATATCCGGTATTTTGATGATTTTACCCACATTTTTCAACGGAATTGTCTGAAAATCCACACAAGGAGTTCCTTGTAGGTACTTTATACCTCGGCAGAGAATTATCTATATAGGTTCACAATATCGTATAGCCCCCATATAACGGTACCCCCCGATAATCGGTATTTTGATGATTTTAGCCACATTTTTCAACGGAATTGTCTGAAAATCCACACAACGAGTTCCTTGTGGGTACTTTATACCTCGGCAGAGAATTGTTTATATAGGTCCACAATATCGTATAGCCCCCATATAACGGTGCCCCCGATGTTCGGTATTTTGATGATTTTACCCACATTTTTGAACGGAATTGTCTGAAAATCCACACAAGGAGTTCCTTGTGGATACTTTATACCTCGGCAGAGAATTATCTATATAGGTCCACAATATCATATAGCCCCCATGTAACGGTACCCCCCGATATTCGGTATTTTTATGATTTTACCCACATTTTTGAACGGAATTGTCTGAAAATCCACACAAAGAGTTCCTTGTGAGTACTTTATACCTCGGTCCACAATATAGGTCCACAATATCGTATAGCCGCCATATAACGGTACCCCCGAAATTCGGTATTTTGATGATTTTACCCACATTTTTCAACGGAATTGTCTGAAAATCCACACAAGGAGTTCCTTGTGGGTACTTTATACCTCGGCAGAGAATTATCTATATAGGTCCACAATATCGTATAGCCCCCATATAACGGTACCCCCACGGTATTCGGTATTTTCATGATTTTAGCCACATTTTTCAACGGAATTGTCTGAAAATCCACAAAAGGAGTCCCTTGTGGGCATTTTACCTCCTCAAAATGAAGTGTCTATGTAGGTCCACGATATCGTATATCCCACATATAACTGTAACCTCCGATATTCGGTATTTTGATGATTTTACCCACATTTTTGAACGGAATTGTCTGAAAATCCACACAAGGAGTCCCTTGTGGGTACTTTATACCTCAGCAGAGAATTATCTATATAGGTCCACAATATCGTATAGCCCCCATATAACGGTACCCCCCGATATTCGGTATTTTGATGTTTTTACCCACATTTTTCAACGGAATTGTCTGAAAATCCACACAAGGAGTTCCTTGTGGGTACTTTATACCTCGGCAGAGAATTATCTATATAGGTCCACAATATCGTATAGCCCCCATGTAACGGTACCCCCCGATATCCGGTATTTTGATGATTTTACCCACATTTTTCATCGGAATTGTCTGAAAATCCACACAAGGAGTTCCTTGTAGGTACTTTATACCTCGGCAGAGAATTATCTATATAGGTTCACAATATCGTATAGCGCCCATATAACGGTACCCCCCGATAATCGGTATTTTGATGATTTTAGCCACATTTTTCAACGGAATTGTCTGAAAATCCACACA